GAGATTGGCCTATAGTTCTCTTTTTCAGTTGGGTCTTTCTCTGCTTTGGGGATCAAGGTGATGCTTGCTTCCAGGAATGAATTAGGGAGTATTGCCTGCCTTTCAATTTCATTGAAGATTTTAAACAGTAGTGGCAGTAGATTCTCTCTAAATGTCTTGTAGAATTCAGCAGTGAAGCCATCAGGACCTGGGGTTTCTTAGTTGGTAAGTTTTAATTATGTTTTCAATTTCAATGATTGTTATTTGGTCATTTAGAATTTTTAGGTCTTCTTGGTTCAACTTTGGTAATTCATACATATCTAGGAATCTGTCCATTTCTTCTGTGTTTTCCTTCTTAACTGTATATCCTTTTATTGGTGCATTTTAGGTATATAATATAATGGCATTCATCATTGGAAATTTGCACCTTTACATAATCTCTCTTGGTTCTTCTAAAATGATGCAGTAATGATTTTTGTGGTTTTGGTTTTGTTTTGTTTTGTCTTTTTGGTACTGGGGATTGAACTTGGGTCCTTGTGCTTGCAAGGCAGGCAGCAAAACCACTGAGCTTGTGTTTTTCTTCTTATTGGCATATAGGTTCTCAAAGTACGTATTGATGATCTTCTGCATTCCTCCTGGGTCCGTTGTAATTTCACTCTTTTCATTCCTAATTGCGTGGATTTGGGCCTTTTCTTTCCTTTTTCTGATAAGGTGGCCTAAGGTCTTCTAATTTTGTTTATTCTTTCAAAGAACCAACTCTTGGCTTCATTGATGTATTGTGTCATTCTCTTAGCCTCCATTGAATTGATTTTTGCTGTAATCGTTATAATTTCCTCCCTTCTATGAGCTTTGGGTTTGTGCTGCTCTTCCTTTTCTAGAATCTTGAGGTTTACCATTAGGTTGTTTAATCAGGCTCACTCTGTTTTCCAAATATGAGTATTCACTGCTGTGAATTTTCCTCGTAAGACAGCTTTCATTGTGACCCATCGATTCCGATATGTTTTATTGTCATTGTCATTTAATTGTAGGAACTCTCTGATTTCTTCTTTAATTTCCTCTGTGACCCATTGGTTATTCAGAAGTGTGTTGTTCAATTTCCATGTGTTTATGAAATTCTTGTGGTTTCTTTTTCTTTTGATCTCCAATTTCAT